GTAACGTAATAAATGAACACTACCGTTTAGCATCTGTAACAATGGTTGTCTAATGCAATATACGTATATATTATTTATTAATAATTTATATTCTTAATAAAGATTAATTTATTATAGTTTTTAACTTATTTTAAACGATAAACGACCTAAAAATCCAAATGATTTCGGGGTCAAATAAACTGTTTCATTTACACATCTGTTCGTTTCACTTCATTGTCTAAGACTTTTAGAAAACAAAAATGAATTATTAAAATATAATTATTATAATATCGAATCGTTTTAATAATAAACTAACTTTTTTTAGTTATAATTTATGGAATGAATAAAATAATGTAGTAAGCGAGCATTTGATAAATGACGTTGAGTTAACGTCACTTACCAAATGGTTACCTAATACGTCACACCGAACGGTTGTGATGTATTTTGATGCTAATACGTCACTTAACAAATGGTTAATTAATTCATTGCCGGCCCATACTCCATTTCAATCTTTTATTCTACTACAGTCGACAGCTTGACCCTGGTACGATAGGCCGAAGTAAAGTAACTTATACCCATGTTGAGGATCATCTTAAGATTATTAATGTTATTAAAATTGAGGAATTCCTTACTCCTTCCGAAGATCCTAGGCTTCAGTCTAGTCAGTCTTATGAGTAATACGGTCCTGTATTACATTGTATTATTATTACGTGAGCAGTTACTTTAAATATTTCTCTATTCCGGAATGTATTGTACTGGTCAAATGAGTAAAGAGTGTGCCAGTTTTAAGACTGAACTTTGTTCTATCCTTAAAACGTAGGGTGCATTACCTAAAGTAAAAATAAAAGCCTCTTTATAGCTGGATAAGCAAGCTAATGACGTAGCCCGTTTTATTTGAAACGAATAATGTCATTGGTTTGTTTAAAACTAATAATACTCTTACCCAGGGTGGCTTCGCGTGCCTCATACAGCTCTTCTACATCCTTATTGCGGCTCTCATATACCTATACAATTTTTTTTATAAACTTGATACACACTACTTACATATATATAATAATTTTGTATGTTTCTTATTATATAGTGTAATATACACAGGGATTGCAAGCGTATCTTGCAACTGAAAACCTAAGGTAATGTACATTCATGGCTTCTATCCTGACAACCTCTTCTACACTACATTTTACAAATGTATTATTTATAAGACATTTATAAAACGTTTTATTTGCTTTTGTTTTTATGAATTTATTACCGTCTTTGATGTATCATTCAATGATAAAATCGAACAAAGGTGGTGGATCTGGAACGATGACATCATTAGTTGTCGCAATCGGTATACAATAACCTTACCATCTGCTTCTTCAGCTCCAATTATTAATTAAAAATAATTCGGTCGGTCAAGTATAAAGGCAAAATTGTGATTTGTGTATAAAACTTAATAACATTTTTGGAATCGGAGGACTTTGAAACGTCGAAAAATGAAAAAAATTCGGGTGTTTTCTGTATGTATGCATGTTAGTATGTGTGTGAGAGGCATGATTTTGTTCACCCTGTTTGTAGCTTAATAACTCCTATGTTTTTGTCGGAAATTTCTGAAAGTTTACAGGGAGGTTTGCGTATTAGAGGATTGATTCTATTAAATTTTGGTGGTGAAAGGCCGAGGGGGTGGGGAGCTAAAGACGGTCGTGTGTCGTAGGTGTCTCAAGTAGGGTCGGACTTAGTGACTATTTTAGTCGTTATTAGCATTTACAATTTTTTATTTTATTATAAAATCCATTCCTACACTCAAAATTAAGCTTTTGACCATTTTATAATAATTAAAAATATAAAAAGTTTTTAAAATAAAATGGTGTAACAGGTGCCACACACGCAGTTTTAAATGTTGCCGAGAAAGTTAAACTCGTTGTTGAAGTTTTTAAAAGTTTTTATGCTATATTTGATATGTAAAATAAAACCGGGTGAAATGCCTAGAGATTTTTTTAACCTTTCCATTTACAGCTGTGTTTGACAATTTCATTATTTTAATGCTCTTTTTATGGCTGTGTCTATGATGCCATGGTTTATGCCTGCTCTTCACTATCTGGAAAAATAGCCGAGGAAGCCAAAACAATGTTTCCATGTGACTCCCATATTATTGGAGATGGTGCTTATGGAATGAATAAGCATTTGATGAAACCTTATCATGACAACGGGCCCTTGACAGCTACCCAAGAAGTGAGGTACAATAAGAAATCATTTGCTCATCTCAAAGGAAGATGGAGAAGAGTGAATTATCTAGATATATCAAAAATGGAGTCGAATGGCTTGTGTGTTACACAACACAACATTTGCATTACAAGTGGAAACATCCTACAAGATGATATACTTCTTTCAGTTCGGTATTTTCAATTTTTCTTATTCTAACTTTTGGTACTTTGGTACATTACTTTGGTACATTAATGTTATTCAGGATTCAGGCAATCATAATCTTGAAGTATATCATTGAGCAAAAGCAAGATGAAAACGCAAAGCGAGATAGAACTGTTTAAAACTTATAATCCAGTGAAACTTGGAATGAAATGCAAACCAAGATATTTAGTAGTATGCAAATGATCCCACTATTGAGCTAATTATTTATGGTTATAACTATAAAATAGGCGTAATGTTCGATGTCTGTACTTGATTTTCGCTTTGGAATATGGACTGGAGATGGAGAAACTTTAGGCAGTGGTGATGGCAAGTCTTCTAGAGTGATAGATGCGAATGAGTAGCTTTCACTACTAAGTACGAAAGGTGATTCCACATCAGGACGTTCACCAAAACATTAGTTCATGCTGTTAAACTAATACTATGTCCTCCCAAAATAATATTTTGTTTTCTAAATCACCTAAGGTCCTTTAGTTTTATTTATTCATTTATTGTGGTCTTTTTAAAACTGGACGGGACTAAATTTTGTAGTACCAAGAAATATAAGTGAAATTTGAATAATAAAAAAAGACTCACTTGTTGTTGCCAGATTTATTATTGTGTTTTTTTACTTTTATTTGTTCTCCACAGTCCATTCAACTTTTCTGCATCCTTCGCAGGAGACCTCAAGGCCTGCTTTTGTAATTTCTGCAGCAATTCTTGGCATTATAATGAGTGATGACCATTAACGTATGGCTATTCATGTATTATATCAGAAACTTTGGAAGATAACCTTGATTTCTACCCTTGTCTAAGTCAAATTCTCACTTTGTTTTTACATAACTGCATATTTGGTTTTATTGGGAATGGGCTAGATATATAAAGGAATCATCATAACATTGGATACACTTTGAGAGACTTTACAAGGTGGTCATCAGAAGGAAAAAGGCATCAAAATATGTAAAAATTGTATGACATAATATTTAAACAACATCCAATTACAAAAGGCAAAAAGTCCTGTTCTATATAAGAAAATACACACCCAAATTTAATGGGACATTTTCGAACATTTCATACATTTTCTATAATAATAATTAAAGCTATATATAATTTTTCTTACTTCTTTTAGCCCTGTGAGGAATAAGAGTCTTTTCTTGCCATGATTATTGTAGATCCAACAAATTAGAACCGAAAAATTCTTAGGGTTTACGACCCATAGGACTTGTTCTCGGGTCTTCTGCAACTGTAGGTAACACATTTAAGCACTACATTTATACTATATTTATTGTATTCAAAACTATCAATAAAAATAAGTGAACAGAAGACAATCAGTTAATTAAGAAGTAGGTTATATTTCTATATAGAATTCGATAATCACAAGAATATTTGCTTACATTTAAACGTTACTAGATCAGTGGTGGATCATGTTATAAACCAATTAAAATGAATCATCGATTGAAATTTTGATTAAAGTTTAATTACAGTAAATTCGAATTGTAGATTTTAATTGTTGCCGGTTTCTCTGATAATTTGTACATTTTTCGAGACAAAGAAGCACTTTTATGGTTTGTTTTTTTTTCAGTACATAACCAATTAAATTTACCTACAAAAACAATACAATCTTTNAATTGTTTGTCCGTAACATTATTATTATTCGAGTAAAGAATTATTTCGTACAGAAGAATATCCTTATTAGCTAATTGTTTAAGTTGAAAAAACATGTCTTCGGATCGCTCTGGTGAAGAATTACAGCATTTCAAAAGTGTATCACCGACAATAGATGAAGATGGGGATATATATTACGATCCTGTTAATTTGGAAGATGCTTTGGAAAGTCTAAGTATAAAGAATGACAGCCAAAATTTGAAATTAGAGTCGAAAGATAAAGAACATAAATACGAATTAAATGTGAGTTTAGGAGACAGAGAAATAGCGACAAAAATAAAAGAATACAGTAACGATAAAGACGTAAAACCTACTGAAATTAGAAAATCAATTATCAATAGTTTAGGATACTTAATTAAAATCATAGGAGAAACTTTATCTACCGAAGACATGGACGAAATCATTGAAGAAGACGTTAACTGCGACGGAAATGTAGGTTTGCATAAACTCTTAAAAATGTTCGAGAAAGAAGACAGTTTAGACGATGATATCAATAAAAATGATACGAATTCTAATATAAATACACCCAATACAGCTAACGTTCGAGAATTAAGAAAAAGAATGATTTGTATAGGTACTATAACAAAATCTTTGGGAAAAAATTTAACAGAAGAAGATCTTCAGGATATATTAAATGAAGATTTGGATTTACAAGAACAACCGATCTGTATTGACTTTGCAAAACTTTTAGAAATTATGGAGAAGAAATTGTGGGGATTCCAATTAAGTGAAGGGAAATTAGAATTAGGAAAAAAGGATAATGTAACTGTTCGGCATATACAAACTGTTTTGACATCATTAGGAACAGTTATGATCGGTCTGGGGCAAACCATTTCGGATGAAGAATTCGGCCAAATCATGAAGAGAGATTCATCCGATGGAAATTGTGACTTTTCAAAATTGATATGTAATATGATAGAAAAAGAGATAAAAGAATCCGATTGCAGTGTCGATATTATTAGAGATTTTGGTGTTTTCGATTCGAGAGGAACAGGTTATACTTACGTGGACGAACTTCGAGATGCCATGATGAGTGCAGGAGATACGTTCTGTCAAAGAGAAATGGCAGAATGTCTAGAAGACATAGAAGTTAATGAATATGGACAGTTCAGCTACGTAGATTATGTCACCAAAGTGTCAATGAAACGAAATCAAGAGAAATAAAATGTTTTCATAAATGTTACCTTCAAGATTATTCAAAATTCATCTGTTTACTCTAAAAAATTAATAAATACAGCAGGGGATATTAATTTTATTTTGAAATGGTGTCAATACATTTTAGAATTTCTGTAAATTTAGAAAAATCAAGAAGATAAATTTGATATTAGAAAAAAAGCAGTAATAATAATGAATTGTTTTAACTCAAAACTCAAAAATATGATGTTTAAAGATGCATCATATTAATAAATATTTATAATTACACAAAAGATGTTTAAATTTTGATGTAGATTTTAAATAAGGTTTTAAACTGTACGGAAGAGGCAGAATACATACATAAGTAAGGCCCAATCTATATTCAATTATACATCATCGAGTGTCAATACAATACCAAAACACGAGGTAAGTATTAATAGTAGATACAAACATAAAAAAAACAATAGACCTAATATCATTAAATGCAACAATAAATAATCCCCAACAAATAAAACAATACCAAATAATACTAGAGACACACCAAAAGAAGAAATAACCTAATTTAACAATTTACAAAAAGGCATAAAGCATGACACNTTCTTACTTCTTTTAGCCCTGTGAGGAATAAGAGTCTTTTCTTGCCATGATTATTGTAGATCCAACAAATTAGAACCGAAAAATTCTTAGGGTTTACGACCCATAGGACTTGTTCTCGGGTCTTCTGCAACTGTAGGTAACACATTTAAGCACTACATTTATACTATATTTATTGTATTCAAAACTATCAATAAAAATAAGTGAACAGAAGACAATCAGTTAATTAAGAAGTAGGTTATATTTCTATATAGAATTCGATAATCACAAGAATATTTGCTTACATATAAACGTTACTAGATAAGTGGTGGATCATGTTATAAACCAATTAAAATGAATCATCGATTGAAATTTTGATTAAAGTTTAATTACAGTAAATTCGAATTGTAGATTTTAATTGTTGCCGGTTTCTCTGATAATTTGTACATTTTTCGAGACAAAGAAGCACTTTTATGGTTTGTTTTTTTTCAGTACATAACCAATTAAATTTACCTACAAAAACAATACAATCTTTAATAAAAATACATTCCAAATATTAAAATATTTTTGTATAATTTATCGAAGCTTTTATAAATTTATAATTGACTCAATTGTCTTGTATCAAGCGAAATGTTAAATAAAGAATAATTAGAATCAAAATATTTTAAGTCCTAGAAATAAAATCAAATGCTTTTAAACAATTTACATAATACACTTTCTAGTGAAGGTCGCTAATGCAGTTTATCATGTGACTTCAAGACAAACACTAAAATCAATCGTTTGCGTAATTTCTATTCAAAAATATTCTTTCTTCTTTTAGAAAACCTACATTTGGTTTATTTAACGAAATATTTTGCAATCTCTCTCTCTCTCTCTCAACCAATGGTCGGTGGATAAACATGGATGTGTGCAGTCTTATAGCTTCTCTCTTCGCTTAGCTAGCTGTTTTATCTATTAGTAAGGCCTTTTCCTCAATAGAACCACGAAATATAGTCATAATCTACACCTAAAATTCTTCGTATTTTCATTAAGAGTTAAGAATAAAACATGTATCCAGGTTACAGGAATCATAGTTTGTGCTTTGTGTGTTTTCTACGACCAATCATCACCCCCTTAGAGATATTTGGAATTAAAATTATGTATTGCAATTGTAATCAATATGCTGATAATTCGTTATATCTGTTATATCAAACAGTTATAGAGGTATTTATGTGGACTAATGTAATACTTTCTGCTCAAGAGATAACAAACAATTTGGTTTGTGTCGGATGGATCCGAATGTTTCCTAAAAATGAAATATTTGTAAAATTTATTCTAATTACATTTTTTATTTTCGTATCTTTTCAATTTAGTTTATTTAAAAGGAAAAGACTTTATTTTCCTAGAAATAACAGTGGATATGAAGGAGAAGAAAAAATAGCAGATGATATTCAAATCATTTTTATAGCCGGTCTTACAAATGTATTTTTTTCAATAATCACAGTTATAACCGTAATTGATTTATTTCTTTATCCTACATTAAAACAAATAATTGATTCACAATTCGAGCTCTCATTCTGTAATCTAAATATCACATTAATGTGCATTTACGGTATTGGACAATTAGATTGTTGTGTTCTATTTTTCGGTGCTTTGTGCGTAATGCTCTCGAAGAGATTCAAATATTTATCTCAGGTAGTCGATGAACTAACAAAAGAAGAAAGTTTTCTCAAGAATAAAATCGAAACTTTGATTCAAACTCATTGGGATTTATGGACTTATATACAAGAACTAAATCTAGTGTATGAAGCATACATTCCAGCTGTATATTGTTTTGCAGTGTATCAGTCAAGTTTTCTCTTCTGTGCATTGTTTTTCTTTAAACTTGATGCTTTTATGCGTTTTGCAATCTGTATTCTTTTCTTAGGTATGATCGTCGGTAGTACTGTTGCGACTTTCCAATTATCTCGGTTTACATCTTTGGTAAGTGAGTTAAACTTAAACCTATCCTATCTTATTAAGTAAATAGCTTTAAAATCATTCTTAAAAAATACATAATTGAAATTGTATTTATTTCAATATTATTTATAACATATTTATAAAGAGGTTAGGNAATAAATAATCACCAACAAATAAAACAATACCAAATAATACTAGAGACACACCAAAAGAAGAAATAACCTAATTTAACAATTTACAAAAAGGCATAAAGCATGACACAACAAGGTGTCAATTAAAATTGCCCTTATACCAAAAATAAAACCCGAAAAATACACATCAATTACACTAGTTACTATATTAATTACAAAATAAAAAAAACCTTAAAATTAAATTAAAGATAAGACACCCAATTAAAAATTGCCCTATTAACATAAGGCAGAAGGGTGCCACCAAATAACCTATAAACACCAACTTAGATTATAAAGCTACAACCAATTAACTACCCCTCTCAAGGCAAAGGTGTAGCACCTATAATTAACTTAAACTCTAATTAATTTAAACTAAATAAAATTAAAATCTAAATTTATACTCAATACATCTTTTTAAAATTAAGCTACACTTATAGAGCAGAGGATGTGGATCTATTAACACCAAAAAACCATTGCACATTCCAATACCCATTACAATAATAGCTCCTATTTCCTACAGGAGCAGGGTAAACCGACAGCAAATGAACACTCATATCAGTGTTAATAAAGATAAACTAACAAAAACTTAAAAACTAAAAGCACAAAACATCCATCAAAAATACAACAATAAAACATATAAAAGTTAATCAATAGACTACTAAATAACAACCACTTAACTACAAACAACCCATAATGTTAATTATCTTCGTGGAGGGTCATCGACAGGAGGGGAGGTGAGAGGGTTGGCAAAACGAGAAAGTTTTTTAGCTCTTCCTGGATGTCTTGGTAGTAGGGTACCACGTGGGGATGAAAGAAGTATTCCTTAACAATGAAAGTGTTAAGAGAAAGCGAGAAAGAGATCCATCCTGGATATGTCCCGACCTGTACCTCGTTACTTGGCCACCCCATTAATGCTGAATCCACTATGGTTTAAAATACATGACCCTTTCTATCTCTATTGTATCTACCCTTCTATTGACCTTTGTGCGCGTGCCATTTATTCGATATGCACTGTGTCGCCATCTATTCACATAAATGTAGATTGTTGTGACTTTTTAGATGTTTATTTGTGATAATTATGTAAACGTTTAATGGATTTTTTCTAAATTTAACCATAAATTTCTCTCATTTTGTTGCAGTAATGCGCCAAGTTTGATAAAAATCGGGCGCCAATTTCGCGGCGCTCGACGTTCGACGTTCACGTTTTAAAGATGAAAACTTCGACCGCAACCTTGCTAATTTCTTATAATTTTCGTCGAATTTTCATTTCAATTGCCGATACGTAATAAAGAGTATCTTTATCTTTTTCGTACTATAACATTCCCTATCCGCAGTGATACCGCAAATTTTTCGCATTCAAAACTGTATTAAAACATGTTTTATTATACCACCATCCTCCTCTTTTATATTTATTACAATCAGATGGCTACGTTTTTCTCTTGTAATCATCATATGTACTAAATCTTTCATATCTTTTCCTATACAAACCATTATCTGTAAAAGACAAAAATAAGTATATATGTACTGTACATACTAAGTTTTGACTATTTTCTTGAGATTCGAGACAGATTATAATTTCATCTTGAGTCAGTTATGGCGACAGACAGAATTTCTATGGAATCCGGAATTGAATCGGAACGGGCCGATAAACCTTATCAAATTTTTCGAGGGTGGCCGTTCGTGAAAACAAACCTTTTTTGGTGTGTTGTCCTGTGCCACCCAATACTATAGGACCAGAATCGCCTGAAGTTGTGCCGAGCGCCCCGGCCCTACGATTGCTTCGCTGTCTCCGTGGTAAGGAAGGAAAAGAAAACTTGAACATTCGAACTTTATTCTGACTTAATCTGCAGTTATATTCCGTTGTTTAAGGAAATTTTGTAAGAAATTCTTATTTTTATTAAACGGTGTAACGATGAGGAACCTGTCTCTGAGAGGTTTTTTTCACTCCCACACGATAGTCGTGACCGCGCGACAATCCTGAATATCGCATTCAGTCTGCCAACCTCATATTATTCCTTAAGTCACAGCCTCTGTGGATCTGGCCGCACCCAAAATGGATTATTCTTTAACATGATATAATTGTCAAAAGATCATTTTGGTCTTATTACATTCATGCCCATCACCACCCGAGTGGATAAAACCGAACATTGGTAGTTAGTGCCTGGCCAATGGGAGTTTTTCGGGTTTACTCCGTGTCTGTAACGCCTGAGTAGGGGCCGGTTAATAAGGAACAACAGAATCCATTAACTACAGCGTTTCCGGATTGAAATACGTGAATTGTCAGAAAAAGTTAAAGACAAGGGAAAAAAACTAAAAGTTTAGCAGAGAGTGGTTTCGATCCACCGACCT